GTCTCTGCCAATCTACCCTGGAGGAAAATTCCTTCCTGACCCCAAATATGGCGATCAGCTAAACCCTGAGCATGTGGGCAAGACTCACCAGCCAGACACCCAGAAAGTTCTCTACAGTAACTCCTATCATCCCTCCATTGACCTATTTACCTCTGATAATGAATGGTCAATTAGTCACCAAGATCATGTTATCTCATCAAACCATCCCCTTCATAAACCAATCTAGTTTAATCTTGAAGCCAGATAGATCTTTTGCCCCCACTTCTTCCTTTGGAAGGCCGTTCCAGAACCTCACTCCTCTAATGGTTAGAAACCTTCGTCTAATCTCATGTGTGCCAGCTGCCCAGCCCCAGCTCTGTGGAGCAGGCCCAGCCCCACCCCCTCCCAAAGCATGTAGGGGGAGGGAGGGAGGAAGAGGGAGAGATTAACCCTTAACTCCCAGGAGCTGCCCACCTAGTCTGGGCAGGAGCAGCCCCAGGGACACGAGCACGGCATGCATGCCGGGTTGCTGATCCCTGTTCTAAGCAGTAGTTCTTAGTGGGTAGTAGACATCTTGTCAGGAGTCTTTATAATATTCATGGCTTCTGTGACTCCCATTGCTGTCTCCAAAATAACTGGGCTGTATATATATTTGATATTGCCTGTATCAAGCAGTCTTACCTGGGGTCTTTCCAGGGTAAAGGGACAGCCCAACAAGAAACTAACAATATTGAGTTTCACAGCAAGCAGTGTATGCCTGCCTCCTCTTTCCCCAGGATCTGGGTTCTCCCACTTTTCTCAGTAAGAAGATCAGATTACACCAGTTGTGTGTCCACTGGCAACACTGGCAACTTGCAAGGAGTTACTTTGCACTTCCACTGACCTCAATTTTTACAGAAAAATATTTGCATCTTACACCTTGCACAGACAAAGAGAAGATCAAATGCTACCAAATCCGAATTCCCTACTCATTTCAGGGATAATGTTTATCACCCTCTTAGCATAGGTATAAAGGAGAAGGTACTTCTGAGAATCATGCTCCTGGTTTCTCAGTAGTATGTGGCTACATCTACATTGGCAAGATTTAGCGCAAAGGCACATGCCAGTATAGATGCTCTCTTACTCAAATACTCTAACACCAAAACTCTTGTGTTTAGAGTATTTGAGCTAAATCTTGCCAGTCTAGACAAAACTGGTAAGGGCACACTTAAGCAGCTTAATTGTATCCAGAAATAATCAATAGATGGCCAAATGAGAAAAATGACTAGGACTGTGAATGTGGTAAATTATGCTCATCCAACCTAGCACTTCTATTCTGGTTCAGTGATATTCCTGATATAAGGCAAGCCATACAAGATAGCCCAATGTTTAGAAGTTAGCACTGTTTTGAAATTTGCAATACTACTCCAAAGCCTGCTCTGAATGACACATATGCAGCCCTAGTAGGATGGCCTTCTCCAACAGCAGTTTTCCTTTTATTCTCTGGATAAGCCACTAGAGATCTTCATAAATGCTTTTCTGTGTTTTACTGAATTCCTATCTAATGTATCTCATTGGAGGCTTGTTTTTCAAAAATGCTGAGCACCTGGGATTCCAAATGAAACCAATGGCAGCTGGGGATACTCAGCACCTCTGAAAATCTGACTCTAAGCTTTAATACTATTTATACAATCTTCATCACAAGAGCTTCTGAGTACCAAGCAAATTGTAAAAATATAATAAAGAGAATATATGAAGATTTCTCAGATTAATCTGAGCACAACCAAATTCTTCTGATATATTTGTTGCCTAACTGGAAATTGTAGACAAAAATTGTTTTACAAACAGTCTGAAGACAGGATTCTGAGCTTTATCTGAGCAGGTAGAGGATTCCTATAGTAATTCTTTGAAGTGATCTTTTGGTTTCTCCATAACAAATCCCATTTATACTGTTGCAATTACTATATTTCTACTTGGTCTACTCACCTAATGCTATTAAAATAGCTTTTATATGACTAACTTATCCTCATAGAAAATGTCAGAAAGCAAAGGATAACAGAAAGCAAAGTGGCATGTAACACATAGGTATGAAGGGGCAAGTAACACAGGTGTGAAGACAAGAATAGAAGCTGTTTTAGATATAGCTGTGTTTTGCAGCATGAAGCAGATCTTGCTTTACCAGAGTGGCCATCTTACAATAAAATGTACACTGCTCCTTTTGGTAAACATCATATGATTATTTAATTCTTGTTATATTGTGGATACAGATCTACTTTCTTTAATAATGGTCTCTCAGCAGCCCAGAACATCCTTTCTAGCTGCATTAACTATCCCTTGAATGGGTTATTACCACACAAGGACAGGAAATGCCACAGTGTGGGGGAAAAAAGGTAGTGGTACTTATCTATGACATGTTTAGTTGTGTTCACACTACATCCAATTCCACCTGTCATTCAGCCCAATTCAGCCAGCCTGATTTCACAAGCATAGGAAAGGTCATGGAATTTTGGCTTGACTATTACTACCATCACATGCCAATCACTTGCAAAACCAGCAGTGATTTTGATCCTGGAAGGAGATCACATGAAAGACCATGGCAGTCAGTCCCATCCACTCCGCTGCATCATATCTCCCCACATCTCATGGCTTCTCTATCACCACACTTTCTTCAGGAGCCCTATTGTGTTAGGGTATGTCTACACTACTACCCTAGTTTGAACTAGGGTGGTAATGTAGGCAACTGGAGTTGCAAATGAAGCCCGGGATTTGAATTTCCCGGGCTTCATTTGCATATAGCCGGGCGCCGCCATTTTTAAATGTCTGTGAAACGAGGAGTAACGGCAGTTCGGAGTAGGAAGCCTAGTCCGAACTACCTAGTCCGTGCCGCATGTAGCCGCGCGGCACGGAGTCCACACTAGTGGACATTAAAAAATGGCGGCACCCGGCTTTATGCAAATGAAGCTCGGGAAATTCAAATCCCAGGCTTCATTTGCAACTCGGTTGCCTACATTACCACCCTAGTTTGAACTAGGATGGTAGTGTAGACATACCCTGGTTCATTAAATCTTCGAGAGCCAGATTTTTGCCATCATATTCTTATATTAGAGAACAGTCCTCTGTCCATAAATGCCTCCCAGTGACCATACATCCCAAAGCCCTCCTTATAGCACCACTGCCTAAGCCATCTATTGATCATCATAATCCTGTCACATCTTAGTTGCCCTTCTCTAGGAACAGGCAGAATCCCACTAAAGATCACCTGAGCCTCAGTTTCCTTGAGCGTCCTCCCCAGCCTAGCACAGTCTCCCTTAATTCGTTCCAGTGGGAATCTAGCCGTATCATTTGTTCCTACATGAAGGGTGATCAATGGATTCCCTCCTGCTCCCTTAATAATCCTCTTCAACCTCAGTTCCACATCCCGTATCTTAGCACCTGGCAGACAGCACACCCTTCTATTCTCTGGATCAGCTCTGGTTACAGGTCTATCTATTCTTCTCATTAAGGAGTCCCCAATCACATAGACCTGTCTTTTCCTTGTGACCGTGCGATTCTCTGGTCTATCTCTTGCTTCCTCTGGCTGCAAGTCCTTGCCATTCCTGTTTTCCCTTGTAATCCTTTTTAACCCATCCTGTATCCTCCTGATGCTCATTATTGGTTTTGTCTCCATTAAGTCTTCCCCTTTATCTATGGGACTAGCCACTCTTCTCTTCTTCCTTACCCTTCCATCTTCATTATCTACCTGCTGTGCCCATTCTTCATTCTCCAGCTCCACATACCTGTTCTTGAGCTCTATTTTTCCTTCACTGACCCATCTTTTCCTCTGCCTGGTTCTCTGAGTCACATGCTTCCACTGTCCATTTTCTTCGCCCAGCAGTCCCCCCTCTGAGGCCCTTGATCCTGCTTCCATCTGCATGTCTAAGCTTTCCCCTTCAGCCACGTCATGCCTTTGCTCCATCATCTGCTCAAACCCCCTTCTAAACTTGACCAGAGTTTCCACCTGCATCTCCAGTCCTCGGATCTTTTCTTCCATCAGCTCTATCAGGCGGCACTTCATGGAAACAAAACTCCTTTCAGGTACCCCCTCCAGAATCATGTACATACAGCAGCTACCACATCCAATCATCCTCCTTGTGTTCTCTACTCCTTGGGCCATGGCCACTACTGCCTCTGTGTTTTATCTACTTTCTCACCAAAATCCTGTTAGTCCGGTGAACACAAAACCAAACCAAAACACCCCCTCCACAGCAAAAACAAACCTCAAACAAGTCCCGATATCCAAACTCCCACTCAAACTCCCATTTACAGCTCTGTTTGCTGGCTCCTGTGCCGCTGCTTCATTCCAATGCTTCGCCACCCTCCTATTAGGGAAATAGTTTTTCCTAATATCCAACCTAGACCTCTCCCACTGCAACTGGAGACCATTGCTCCTTGTTCTGCCGTCTCTGAGAACAGCCTCTCTCCATCCTCTCCGGAACTCCCCTTTGGGTAGTTGGAGGCTGCTATCAAATCCCCCCTCACTCTTCTGCAGACTAAATAAGCCCAAATCCCACAACCTCTCCTCATAAATCATGTGCTCCAGACCTCTAATCAGTTTCTTTGCCCTCTGCTGGACCCTCTCCAATGCGTGCACATCCCTTCTGTAATGGAGAGCCCAGAACTGGACGCAATACTCCAGATGTGGCCTCACCAGAGCCGAATGGAGTAATTGTTTCCCTAGATCTGCCGGCAATGCTTCTCCTAATGCAGCCCAGTATGCCATTAGCCTTTTTGGCTACATCCAGCATCTCATCCACTGTAACCCCCAGGGCCTTTTCTGCAGAACTGCTAATTAGCCCGTCAGTCCCCAGCCTGGAACAATGCTTGGGATTCTTCCGTCCCAAGTCCAGGACTCTCCACTTGTCCTTGTTGAACCTCATCAGATTTCTTGTGGCCCAGTCCTCCAATGTGTCTAGGTCACTCTGGACCCCTGTCCCTGCTCTCCAGCGTATCTACCTCTCCCCCTAGCTTAGTGTCATCCGCAAACGTACTGAGGGTGCAATCCATCCCCTCATCCAGGTCATTAATAAAGGTGTTGAACAAAACTGATCCTAGAACCGACCCCATGGTCACTCTGATTGAAACCAGCTGCCCACTACACATTGAGCTGTTGGTCACCACCTGTTGGGCCTGACCTTACAGTCCTTGTATCCAACCCAGACTTCCTTAACTCTCTGGCAAGGACACTGGGAGACCTTAATGGAAGCTTTCCTGACGTCCCGGGCTGTCACGTCACGGCCCCTGTATCCGCAGAGCCAGTTGTCTCCCCTTAGAGGGCCATCAGGCTGGCCAGGCAGGACTCGCCCTGGGTGAATCCCAGCTTGGTCAGGGCTGCTCATTGGGGACCATCCTGTTCTTGGTTTGAATTCCCAGGGCCGCACCCGGATGCTCATGCCCCCATCTCTGGGCTCCCTTGATAAAGTTTAACCCAGGCCATGTTTCCCCTCCGGGAGTTTTGTGACCTCCTTCCTTTTAGCCCGGGGCCGGGGGGACTTCTCAGTCGGTACCCCCAGTGAACTCTCCGTGGGCCTACGGGGAGTGGGGACCATCCTGTTCTTGGTTTGAATTCCCAGGGCCGCACCCGGATGCTCATGCCCCCATCTCTGGGCTCCCTTGATAAAGTTTAACCCAGGCCATGTTTCCCCTCCGGGAGTTTTGTGACCTCCTTCCTTTTAGCCCGGGGCCGGGGGGACTTCTCAGTCGGTACCCCCAGTGAACTCTCCGTGGGCCTACGGGGAGTCGGCAGCCAGCGCAGGACCCAGCCCCCTGCGGCAGGCGGGAAACACTGCACCCA